TTATGTAATATTTTGTAAATAGTAATAATAATAATAATAATAAAATTTTATATTAAATATAATCATTTTTTTTTTTTTTTTTTTATTTTTGTACTAAGTTTTTATAATTAATAAAATGATAATTAATAAAATAATAAATAATAAGTAAATAAATAATGTTTATAAAAATAATAATAAAATATTAAGTTTCATGAGCACAGTTTTAATAATAACTTGTGGTTCCTAGTTCTGTTATTCATGATATTATTCTAAATGATCACTATTATAGTATTTTTATAAAATTTGTCTCTTGTTGTTGCAAAGTTGATAAGTACTATTTTCTAATTTAGCATAAATAGTAAATAATCCAGTTCTTTTATCTTCAAACTTTGCAGAGTGTGAGGCTTCTAGATTCTTTCATTGAATTAAAACTTTATCTCCAGCTTCAAATTCTTCTAGTTTTAGTTTTCTGTCATGTCTTTCTTTTTGTTTTTCTTGTAATGTTTCTGTATTTCGTCTGGCTTGTTCTTGTGCTTCTGGTAGTTTGTCTATTAAATCAAAAGCTTGTGACAAAATACTGTCTTCTAAGTTTATTTCTGCATTAGTTTCTTTTATAAGCAGAATTAATTCTATTGGTAATACAGCTTGTCTTCTATAAATTAGCTAAAAAGATATATATCTAATAGTAGTATGCTTCTTAGTTTGATAAGCAAAAAATATAGCAGGAAGATTTATATCTCAATCTTCACTAGTTTTTACTTTTGATAATAATTCATACAATGTTCTATTTAGTCTTTCTACTATACCATTTGTCTGTAAATGATATGATAATAAAAACTTATATTTTATAAGAAAGTTTTTACATAGAACTCAAATTATTTCATTTCGAAAGTTAGATTCTTGGTTTGAAAGAATAATCTTGAATATTCTATATTTACAAACTATTTCTGTAAAGATAAATTTTGCAAAAGTTAGAGCACTTGCATCTGGCACAGCTTAAGCTTTTGGTTATTAGATTAAGTAGTCTGTTGCAACAATAATATATCTATTATTGCAAGTAATAATAGATAGTAGTCCAACTAAGTCAATTTTAATTCTTTCAAAGGCTTGTTCTACCTTTATAGGGTGTAAAGATTTTTTTCTTCTAGCTTTGCCTTTTCTTTGCATTGGTCATAAGTCTTGATATATTCTTTAATGTCTCTATATATTTGATCTTAATAACATCTTTCTGAGATCTTATGATACATAGCATCTATTCCTAAATGTTCTGCAGTAGAATGACTATGCATTATATATAAAATAGAGTCTACTTCTGTTCATTTAATAACTCTAAATAGTTTGTCTATGGATTTCTTGTTCTTTTTATACAAAAGTTCATTTTGAATCATAAAATATTTAGCCTGATTGGTAAATTTTTTCTATTAATAAGTAGTAAAGTCTAAAGGTATAGTATTAAAATTTAAATAATTAAATAAATTGTGATATTGATCTAAGTTTATTATTTAAAAATTTTTATATTAAAGTTTTAAGAGAACATCTACATTAGAGTAAATTCTACTTGGTTTATAAATAATTGTAAAGTGATAAGGTTAAAGTTTCAAAATCCAATATTTGATACATCCTTTGGGTTCTACAGTTTTAAGTCATTTTAATGCTAAATGATCAGTTATTAAGATAAATTTTATAGCTTCTAGATAACTATAAAAATGTTTAATGATTCATACTATTGCAGTATATTCTAATTCTATAGTAAAATAATTTTGCTCTTAGGGTAACAAACTTTTACTAGTATAAGCAATAGAATGTTCTCTATCATCTCTATTTTTTTGGCTTAATATAGCTTCAAAACTATGATATAAAGCATTTGTAGCAAGTATAAATCTCTTGCTAAAATTAGAATAAGCTAGTATAGATGCAGTAACAAGCTTTTTTTTAAGCAATTCAAAGACTTGTTGTTGTTTATTTTCTTAATAATAAGGTTCATTTTTATGTAGGAGTTTGTTAAGAAGTTGGATTATTGCTATAAAGTTCCAAATAAATTGTCTATAGTATTCAGCTAAACCAAGAAAAGATCTTAATTTAGTAGTGTTTTTAGGAGGTTGAATCTTTTATACAGCATCAATTTTTGCAAAGTCTGAGGCTATTCCTTTTGAACTAATAGTATGTTCTAAAAAGAGTAAGGATTTCATTCAAAAGTTGTATTTGTCAAGATTGAGTTTTAATTCAGCTTCTCTAATTCTTTGAAATATTATTCTTAAATGCTTTAAATGATTTTTAAATGTTTTTAAATATACATTGGTATTATCAAGATTGATAACAACAAATTTTCATGCAATTTTTTTATATACTCTGTCTATAAGTTATTGGAATGTTGCTGGTATATTGCATAATTCAAATAGCATTACATTAAATTTATAAGTATTATATTTTGTAATAAATACAGTCTTTTCTTATCTTTTAGATCCATCATAACTTGCCAGTAACTACTAGCTAAGTTTAAAGTTGAGAACTATTGTGATCCAGATAATGCATTTAATATTTCTTGTATTCTTGGTAAGGGATAGACATCCTTTTTAGTGACATTGTTAAGTCTTCTATAATCTATACAAAATCTTAACTTTTTATTCTTCTTTTATACTAGAACAACAGGTGATGACCAAGAGCTTTCTGATAATTGAATTATATTGCTTTCAAGTATTCATTCAATTTCTTCTTTGATAAAGTTTTGTTCATCAGATGGCATATTATAAAGGCATAGTTTAACAGATGATATATTTTCTGTATAAATATGATGTTTAATTTTATTTGTTCTGCCAAGTTTGTAATATCTTTGGCAAATAAATTAACAAATTCTTTTAATAAGTTTTTGAACAATTATCCTTGTTTTTTAGTAACTAGTCCTACATTTACAGTATCTGTTTTCTCTAAAGCATATTTCTCAAATGGTATTAGAGTATCTATTGTATATATATGTTTTTCTTTTAATGCATTTCTTTGCAAAGCTTATTGTAAAACTTCTTTTTCTGTTGGTAATTCTTCTTCAAGAGATAATTCTTTAATTTCTTTGTCTTTTATCTTTTCTAAGCCTTTTAGGTCTTTTGAATCTTTTGGGTCTTCTAAATCTTTTAAATCTTCTATATCAGATAGTTTTTGATCTTGCCTAAGATAATTTAAAAATTTTAAAATGCAAAGGCTAAACGAAAATAATAATTTGCTCATTTTTGGTAATAAGTTATTTGTTTTTGAAAAAATTCTAATATCTTTTCAAAATTATCCTCTAGATATTGAATTCTGATTTCCAATTTGGCAATAATTTAATTTTTTTTACTTTTTTTCATTCTTTTTTTTTTTAGAAATAATGTTCTTATTTATTTCTATAGGTTCTATGACTGTTTTTTCTGATAACTCTATTATTTTTATAATGTTTTCTTTTTCTGAAATAGTTCTTTAGTAAGAATTAATTCATTTAATTCTTGATACTATTTATTACAATATTCTTGATTTTCTTTTAATTTTGCACATTGTTTAACAAAAAAATATTCACACTTGTTATTTATATACAAACTTAAATAAAATATATTTAGTTATAATATGTTTCTTTGTTCAATAAGTAAGTAGTATAACAAATATATATAAATTATAATTATTATCTTTATAATTTTAGTAAGTAATTCATATAAGATTTGATTAAAACATTCAACTATCCTATTTGTCTATATGTGATATAATATTACAACTTCTAATTTATATTTTACTAGAAAATAGAAACCATTATAAGTTAGAACAAAATCATATGAAATTTGTTGTGTTATATGAATATGTAAATGAAGACAGATGAAAAATTCAAAGTTACATTTTTAATATTTTTATTATTAATGCATCAATAATGATAATTTTGGTACATCAAAAATGTAACTTTGGTATCACTTTGCATAGAAATTAAACATCCTTTACTATGCTCTGAACAATTAAATTAAACAAATTTATTTATATTTAATTATTAGTTATAACTAAAAATTAGAATTGGTTTTATTTTTATATATTAAAACTGAATTGAATTGGTTTTTATATATGAAAAATAAAACTGGTTTCAAACTCTAATTATAACTAAGAATTTGAACTGATTGGGCTCTAATCAGTTAACCAATTTAAACTGAATAAATTTATTGAGTAAATTCTTAATCAGTTGATCTTTACAATTAGTTAAAAATTGGTAATTGGGTGGAAGATGTAAATAATATCAGAAATGAGCAAGCATTCCAAAAAGTTCTAAAAGAAAAAAAATGAACATAAAAGACAAGCAGGAACGAGATAAAAATTTAAGTAAAGGTCTAAAACTTTCTGAAGGTAAAGTGTTAAGTAATCTTAACCAGTTGCAATCGGTTGGCATAAAATATTTTGGTTCGGTTAACTGGTTAAGAAAATTTTTCTTGGTTCAAATCACTAGTTATAACATAAGATATATGTATTAGACATTGCCATTAAATTTTAAAAAACTTTTACACGTTATCATATTATTAAATATTTATAATTGTTCAGCTTCAAGGTCTAGAGCCGAGCCATTTTTGGAACCGATGCTTTATTAGTAGACCTGCAGCCGTATACCTCGCGGCTCGGTTCAAGCTGTTTGCATCACTACTTTTGTATCAAACGGAACTTATCGTTATCTTACAAGTGACATTTAGAAGGTCAAAGGTAGTACGTCACCTTTACGTCACCTACGTCATGTAACGTCTCATGTTTATTGATATTCTATGTATGATAAGAGCGATTTTCACGTTACACCAGATTCTGCACCCTCATTGGTCGATATGGAAGTAGCGATACACAATCTGCAATCTTTAATCTAAAGTTCGATTCAATGTCTTGAAGCCATTTCTGTCTTGGAAAATTATCAGACTTTTCAAACGTCTAAAACAATAACAATATTAAAAAAAGGTGACCAAAAAAAAAATATATATATATATATAAAAATATTGAAAAAATCTATGAAAGGTAAAAATTAATTTGATATATGAAAAATGCTACTAACTCTAGCTGAGTTTAAATCTCTTTTGGTTTTATCTTTTATGAAGGTTTCGGCAGATTTCGTCCTTCTTTATTTCCGATTTTAAGTTTCGTCTTTCGTCAGAGGGGTTTTGGGTTCCGTCAGGGTTCCGTCTTTCGTCTTTCGTCACCCTTAGGTTTCGTCTTTCGCCACAACGCAAGAAGGACTTCGTCTAACAACCATATAGCAAGCGAAAATGCGAAAAATATAGATAGTAAACCTATCCTCAAAGAATTATTGTACGGGAGAACACGTATTTATACTGCTCTTCCACCTGGCTCTTCTCATTCTCCAACGAGTTCTAAATCGTCACCTACTGCGTCCTCGTCTCCACTTTATTGGCAATGGCAATCCACAATCTCAAGCACTGGAGTTCCAGAAGAAAAAAGTAAGGTATCCAGCTTCATTGGGAGTATCAAACAGAGCTTGAGTGCCATGTTTCTTCCAGTTGGGTAAGTTTGAAACTTAATTGAAGTTCTTGCGTGAATTATTAATGTTTATAAGGAGATCTTAGTTATCCAGAGACGGTCCATGAGTGCTATGCTAAATTCCATATATGGTTAGCTTTAGAAACGTTTATAGGATCATCGGTATTTTTTCGTGTATATATTATTATATGTTAATTCTTTTTCCTAAGATGTACAAATGCTAATTTTATCTTATATATGTATATGTTCTTTTTGTTAAGACGGGTGTTTTATGTAGTCAGGCAATGCTTTCTTCTTTGGGCTTAGGTCATGCAGAAGCGGCAGCTGGTGCGGTTGCGATTCAATGGTTAGCACTTTAGATTTCAATGTTCATAAATATAGTTCTGTTCTCATATTCATGTATCTTATCTGGAAGATCGAATTGTCATTATGATTAATTCTGTGAGGATAACGTAGGGTTCTTAAAGACGGATTTGGTGAAATAGGAAAATTATTTTTTATAAAAAGATTCGCATATTCCTTTGATTCACACCCTAAATCATGGAAAATGGTGAATAACTAACATGTGATTTATTATTATTTAGTAATAATATGTATTCATCTACCTTTTTTTTCATTCACAAGATTAGTGAAGTATTTGCTATCACAGGATACTTTCTCCAACTATGCACGTGCATAGCAAAGAATTCTCTTTTCTTACCGTTAGCTTCTTTGGGAAATGCTTTTGAAAGCATTCAATACAGCATATTTGGAGCTACGCATATGGCGTTTATTCGAAACTTTGCTGTAAGTAGAGAAGAATATATAAAATTTCCACCGTTATTCTATTAAATTTATTGTATTGGTGTTTCATAGCTTTCTGGAAATGTTGGCGATATTGTGGCTAAAGATGATGCGCAAATGTCTTTGGCGCACTTGCTTGGGTCAGCATTGTCTAATTTTTCAATCACTTGTTTCAATTATACTCAAAAATAAATAACTATTATCATCATTTCATATTTAATAGAATGCTTTGCGGTATTGGGATGATTACTATTTCCCATGATCCGGCCTTTTTGTTTGGATGTTTCACTATTCTTGCACCCATCAACATGTACGCTACTTTAGCACTTTTGAACTCGGCACAATTTGAGATTTTGAATCAGGCGAAACTATCATTAATTAGCAGGCAATATATCGATTGTGGTAAAGTTCCAACTATGGAAGAACTTAAGGATAGAGAAATTGGTTTTGGAGAATGGGTCAAACCGGGGAAGAGTCCTATAGGTGTTAAAATACGTTTAGGAGTTCCTGCATCAGACGCGTTCCGTAAAACTGAAGACGTGATGGATTCCTTGGATGTATTAGGGGTAATCTTTTAAATAATTTTGTTATTCTAATTTTTTTCCCCATACTCGTATTGATTCATATTTTTTTTATGGTTCCCAATGACCTAAGAATGAAAATTATTTACTAAACTATCAGCCACATTCCATCACAATTGATATTCTTTACCATTCTGATGCCGAATCTAACGACGTGATAAAATCCATACTTCATTCGCTTAAATTTCACGACTACGTAACTAAGCATAATATGGCACAAATGAATTCTGAAAACATAACTCAGCGTATTAGAGAGTCAATGCGAGAAAGCCATAAATGGACGAATGAAAACTTTGGAAAGTTTGTGGCGGAATTAGATGACAAAGATTGGCAGAGCGATGTGATTTTTTGGTCAGATAAGTATGTTTTTCAAATAATGTCTTCATCTTTAAAATAAACCTAATCTAGTCAATGATATATATGTATATTTTTTATTTATTTATCTCAGAGGATTCAGAGTTATATGGGAACGTAACAGAGACAAAACAATATAACCGATTAATAATTATATATAATCTAAATATAGATTTTAATTTGAGTTTTATTACAAATATGCATTATCAAAGGCAAGAAAAAAACAAAATAAATCTACAAAGAAATAATTTCAAAAGGGAAAAGAACAAGGATATTGCCCAAAAAATATTAACATTTTCATTTATAAATATTTTAAAATATAAATACGATATTAATTCTTATTTTAAGGTGGAACCTTGTTAAACGGTTCCTCATGTACTCAGTGCACCTTTTTAATATCTCAAAATCCCACTATGAAAACACCTTTGGTAGTACTAATAAAAAATGTTCCCCATGAAATTTTACTATAAACTATAATTCATTTTACCTCTAACCTCTCTAATATTAAAAAGTTATTAATTATACTTATTTAATTATTGGGGGCACCGTTAAGATAAATTCTTTAAAGTAAATGAATTATTACAATAATTTTAATATATTAATTTCAGTACCATGTTTTTTCTAGATTCCAAATAAACGTAGAACAGAGTCTAGCTCTGAACATGAATCACAATTACTTTTGTTTCTTTTCTTCTTTTTTATTTTTATAAACGAAAATTTTCGTATCATCAGCAATGATAAATTGTTCTTTCCACATGGCAAAGGTATCAATAAAAGTTTTGACGATTGGTTCATTAGATTCACGTTTGAATTGAGGATACCGTTTTTGGAATGAAGCAGTAGCTTCCTTAAGATAATAATGTGGAATTGCCGGAAACAAGTGATGAATTTGATGTGTACCAATAGAATGAGTGATGTCATGAAGGATACCATAGTCGCGATCCACAGAAGAAAGGTTACCAACGACATAATTCCATTGATCGTTTGAAAACCACGGAAGCTTTAAATTTTCTTCGGCACCATGATGATGGAGAAAAGTAGTGATCACTAACCAAGTAGCAAAAATTATCCATGGAAGGAAATAATATTTTACTATGGCCAAAGTACCGAAATGAATAGAGATGTTACCGAGGCTAAGCAGTGCCAGAAGCACACAAATGGTTGAAATGATAGCACCAACGCGATTTTTAGCAAAAAGAGGGGCGAATGGATTTATATGAGATGTTGCCCTTGTTCCATAGCCGAGAATCAGGTAAATGATCCAACCAACACCAAGTCCAAAGTAAGGGACGAGTTTTGTATTTCCAATACCTTTAGTCATAATCAAAGCATCAGTTTGTCTCATAGGAAAGAATACTTCATCTTTATCAATATTTCCAGTGTTTTTGTGATGGTGACGATGACTTATCTTCCAAGTAGTATATGGAACAAGGATCAAAGTATGAAGAAATGTTCCGACGATATCATTGAGCCAAGGATAACGACTAAAACTACCATGGCCACAATCATGACCCAATACAAAGATAGCCCAAAACATAGTGCCCTGAATAAATGCGTAAGAGGGAAGTATAACAAAGGTTTTAACGATTGACGGAATAGATCCGATGGAGTCAAGTATAAGATAAGTAGCGAATGTGATAGCAACGATTATTAAATCCCGAGCAACATATTTAAATGACCTTTTAACTGAAGGACTAAAATATTTTGCAGGAATGTTTTTCTTTATTTCTATGATCGAAGGAACTGAATCTTTTAAAAAAAGTCTATCATCTGATTTTATCTTATAGATTAAAGGTTTCGTTTCACCTTCAATACAAATTTCGTCACTAGGATGGATAGGAAAAGGTTCGAGAGGCGGCATGTTAAGCTTAGCAGATTAATAAAAAAAGATTGAGATCAAAGTTGGATTGTAATGAAATTTTTAAGATCAAAAAATGGAAACTGAAATTTTGGAAAAGAAAGATTGAGAACGAATTTGAGATGCATTATTTATATTTTTAAATTTTGTCCGTATAAAAAAATAAGATCGAACAATACATAAATATGTATGTATGAAAAAAAAAATCTAGCCGCAAAAAAATCATTTGATAAATGTGCATATATCAAATATCGATATGTAGTGTTTGCATTCATAAATAATACCCTGTCTAGAAATAATTTGGTGTATTTAGAAATTTATCATGGATCGACGCATTGTTGTACACTTTAATTTATTTTTTTTCCCAACTTATTCCATCAAATCAAAATCCCAATAAAGTTATATGGTTGTACACGTTAATTGTCCAAGCCTTTTTTGACCGTACATTCCGTCCTTTCCTAACTTAATCTAACAAATCAAAATCCTAATAAATGCTATAGTAAATTAAATTTTACATAGAACTGAAAGGTCATTGACATTTTTTAAAAACCTCGTATACAACGATTAATATGCCGCTTTATTTCTAAATAAGGACTATCTCGTATAAATGTCTAAATCACATGGAGCTTCTAAAATAGTACATAATATTAACAAATAATCGAGCAAAAAATAAACAAAATAGGATAATATTAATCTTTTATTGTTTCCAAAGGTTGTTAAAGAATAGACTAACAACACATTTGAAAGAAATTCGATTGTATTAACGAATTTATATTGTATTAATCGTATTTAGCGCTGTACTACATTAATTCAAAAGTTAATAGGTTTACCTAATATTTATACTTTAGCTTGTTATGGTAAGTCTATTCAGTGTTTAAAGGGTTCTACATATTATCGGTGCATAACATAAAGCAAGAATGAACTTAAAGCGTCTTCATGATACAATATAATACTAGTGTTATCCGACTTTATCTTGTGTACTAATCCAATCATTAGATGGATTGTTTTTTTCTCTTAAAATATTATCTAACGAACTCAAACGTTTAAATTGTTGCAACACAATAGGTCTTAAAAAATATCTTAGATATAAACTAACGATTATGGATTGATAGAAAAAGTACGCATAATACAATAATGAAGAAAAAAAAGATCTGAAAATGTATATAAGATCTATTTTAGTATAGTACCCAGTATTCGCAGTATTTGTGCGAGTGGTACAAAGAAATTTGCCAATCTACGAGTAGTAGATCATGTAGCCGAAAAGAAATAGCGGTCATCAACTCATGCAAAAAACACAGGCTAGAAAATATCTAAGGACAAATTTCAATGATATATTAGGCGGTGCCGGAATGAGATGCATACATTTAAAGTGATTGGTATGAAAATCGCGGATAAGATTTCTACAAATTATATAAGGGCTCGGTGAAACCCGCATTGTAAATTAGTATGATCCCCCGATCACTATATCAAGATTATGCAAAAGCGGATTTCCTGTCGTATTATATAAACCACTCAGACTTGAATTATGGCCTGAATTATTCTATGTATTAGCAACTTGAGTGCGGCTTTTCTCTTGACACGATCTAAAAACTTTTCTTTAATATCCAACTTTATATGATCAGGGTAATAGTAAATGTTATAAAGTAGTCTGTGATTTTTCTAGGGATGTTACCAGTCAGAATTTATATTATATAAACCACGGTTTTTAATGTTTTTAACCAATCAGAATGCACTATTTGGTATAACGCAATATCCGGCAAACATTTGTTGATTGTCTACGTTTCCGAAACTTACCGACAGTTCAGGTTGGCCAAACTTGTTGTCCGTCCCAAATTATAATACACTTAATTTTGCCCGAAGTGGTATTGTTACACCGCATTAAAAATTGCAAAAATATCGATTTTCCTATGATTTGGCCTAAAAAATATATAATCAACATAAATGTTAACTTTCCAGATTTTTTAGAAAATTTTATTGGGCAAAATTTGAGCACAGCCGCCTTTAAAGCCCCAGCAAGAATATTTGTTTTTGACCCGTATAAAAGAAGATTCTATAAAAGGAATTTTTGAGAGTTTACAAGATATTGCTTTGATATCTAAAATTTTAAAATAGAAATCGGTTGTAGAATACGTAGTCAATTTCTATATGTTGGAATTTGACATCATGCAGTATGTAAATCCTTGATGATGCAATGTCGATTATATAGATGACTTGATTTCTTATAATTACTTCGATGTTTCTTAGTGATTTCTTTTTTTTTTTGATCTGTGCAAATTATGCAAACCGATATAAAAAAATAAAAAACCCGGTTTAATAGAAGGGTAAATTAATATGTATTTTGGGTAATCATATAGCAACAATTTCTACCCGGGTCACAATCAATTTGAAGTGCAGGATAAGGTGTAACATGAGATTCAAATCGCATCTTAGAATTTTGTCTGCGAAATTCTGGATTAAACCATTTTTAACCATTGTTTATTCGAGTCTAACTTAATTTAACCTGGCTGCCATTTGTTTTAAAAAAGGAGAAATTACATATAAGAGCCCGAAAATTGAAAATAATTATACTGTATATAAGGGCAAAAATTTGAAAAGTATTACCGTTACAATCAAGGGTCCAAATTCATCGATTATGATTTTAGCATTACTTTTTAATCAGTATTTATTTATTCTCTTAGCAGCTTGCGTGTAAAATTATAACTATTTTTACAAATTTATAGATTTTTGGGGTTCTAAATATCTTCGATTAATGCATAGAAACCTTCACCAAATGTGGTTCACATTTCATACCTAATTTTGGTATAGGATAAATTCATTAGTTTAGAATAGAATAAACATTACAATACTGACAATGATCGCGCTTAACTTAGTCGAACTATATCTTGGTTAAAAGAAAGTTTTATTAACGAAAGAGAGTGTAGTATAAATGTATAAAATAGTGTATATGTTATCTGTTATGTGTCATTTCTAAATTCTATCAATTATTAATTGACGTATGTTATTCTTCAATTTTCACCGATTGAAAAATGACTCGTCAATTCTTAATGCAGATTTCTTAATATTTTAATACAGACTTATCATTATACATATCAGTATAATCTTGATAATATGTAATATATTACATGAATAAAGATAAATAAATACTATAAGTAGTAGATTGTAGTTGGAGAGTTTATACGTAGTAAAAATTAGAGAAGAATTACCATTACTTTCATACAGTCAAGCCTCAGTTATATCTTTACTAGGTTATATCTCAACCTAAGTTATATCTTACTATTTAGTTAAATAAATATCTTACATTTATTAACTATTGTCTTAGTTATATCTTTACCTAGATTATATATTCAAAAACTTCAGACTTGACTGTATTTAGAAATGTTTAGTTTTTGAGTATATAAAAAAAAAACAATTTGAGTTTTTAAATAAAATTTTATAAAGTTTTTTTTTTAAAAGTTAAAAGTTTTTGTCTTTAAGAAATGAGTTTTATAAAAGTTTATATAGACATGAAAACTTTTAAGAGTTCCTTTATATAGAAGGTTACAACTAGTCATATATATATTTTTGATATCTAATTTAAGTAGTTCATCTATATATATATATTTTTTTTTTTTTGATGTTAAGATAAACCTCTTTGATCTTTTAATATTTATTAATAATTTTTTTGATAATGTGATTCTATAAATTATTACAAAAAGAATGTACAATTAGTTATACATATAACTTTTTTATATTACTTATTTAAAGAGTTCATCTGAAAGTTTTCTACCAATTGTTATACCTAATACCTTTGCTTGAGTATTCTATTTTAAACCTTCTAAACTTGCACTTGTGTTAACATTATTAGGTTATATTTAGATCATTATCTCAATATTAGAACTATTTTATTTCAAAATAAACCTTTTAAACCCTTTTGTATTCATTTTTATAGTTGATCTGATATTACTATAACAGAACTAATACTTGTAATCAGGATTAATTATTAAACTATTATATTCTTGTAAAGTTTATTCAAACCTTAGCATAACTTTACAGTATATTTGAATTACTTTAGTATATTCTTCAAACTTCCAATTCAGATAGTTCAGTAAAACTATAACCAGGTTATTAGTATATTAAGTTAATTTGATATTCTTTTCTAGTTAGTAGTATTTTCCATTCAAGAGTTCTTGTTTGTTTAAATACTTTATTATATAAATAATTATTCAAATTTTTATTATCAGTAGGTTTTAAACTTACAATATATTACTTAAAGAGTTGACAACTTATTCATTTTACTAAGTTATCACATTTTAATATAAATTCAAAATTAAATTTATTATTATTTTAATAGAAGAAATTATTAATATTATATAACTAATCCTTTACCTAGTATACAATATATAAAAAAATTATTTTAAAATATTAGATCATATAATTTTATCTTATTTTTTTTTTTGAACTTTAATAACATTGTTAATTAGATTATTAGATTTTAAATTTAAGATAATATAATTTAAGATTATATTTACAAGATCATTAATAGTACTATATTAGTTATTTATATAATATCTAAGTTTATATTTGGCATATGTCTACATACAGTTATTTTGGCAATTACTTGCAGTCTGAGCATATTATTAAACTACTACTTAAATAAAAATATTTTTAAAACTTAATATGATATCCTAATAACAAAAATACTGTCTTCTGTACTTATATTTATATATTTTATTTACATATTTTATCTAATTTTATTTTTTATTTTTTTATTTTTTATTTTTTTATTTTTTATTTTTTTATTTTTTATTTTTTTATTTTTTATTTTTTTATTTTTTATTTTTTTATTTTTTATTTTTTTATTTTTTATTTTTTTATTTTTTATTTTTTTATTTTTTATTTTTTTATTTTTTATTTTTTTATTTTTTATTTTTTTATTTTTTATTTTTTTATTTTTTATTTTTTTATTTTTTATTTTTTTATTTTTTATTTTTTTATTTTTTATTTTT